GCCTGTGGACATCTCTTGTCTCTGGGTTGAGAAAGTGAAACTGCATCCTGTTGTGAAAGTGTTTTTAATAAACCTTGCATGCTGGCCTGAAGTGTATTTGCGGTCCATGGCTTATTGTGCCCTATTGACATCTGACAACTGTGCTAGAGATTAGTGCTGAACGCTGCTGCTTGGCTAAGCCGTCTCGCTAAACACCCACCCTTTGCTGACTTCACTCTGCCAATCTTTACATCGACATCAATTAGCACAGGTGATTAGTATCTCCAATAATGCTGTTTTACATTTTGGTCTGCTTAAAGGAGAGCTCAAAATAGGGCAAAATACTAATAGACTATCAATCAATGCTTTCATTTTATTTCTTTGTTGCATTACTTCCAAGTGTTAGTAGAAAGAGGTGTTTTGTGTTCCTAATTAGATAAATGAAAGGATATGTGCATGTAAAGTAAATTTAAATCCAATAACAAACATTAAGATGTTGCAGCTTACCAGTCTTTAAAGGAGAATTACAGAGTGAAATATACTCATCCTCATAATTAGAGGCGGCGTGTGACACTGAAGCTATCAAATGTGGTCTCTATAGATCGAGAACTGAGCAATCACATACTGCTGATCACTCAGTTCCCGATCTTCTCCTTGTAGAGAGTGGTGACTGTGAGTCACCGCTCCTCGCCGGCATTCCCCTCTCCATTCCTCCAGCTCTGACTGGAGGAACAGACAGGGGTGGGGGAAGGCACAGCTGGCTCTGTCTCTAGAGAGACAGAGTCAGCTGTCAATCAGGTGGCGGGGTACATCCCGACAATATTGTTTTTTCCGGTCGCAGCGCAGTTCTGTGCTGCCAGCATATAGCAGGCAGTAGCCTGCTACATACTGAGTTTTGGGCCACAGGAGGACATAATGAATGACACCCCGCCGTGTCGTCATCGCGCATGACTCACCTTGTGTATGCGCGATGGTCTTATTGCGCATTCGCAGCCATCTGATTGACGCCTGCCGGCGGCCATCTTGGTGATGGACGCCGGCAGAGAGAGGAGGGGACGTTCACCCGGCAGGATGAGGTATGCCACCGGGTCCCCTCCTCCTTCCTGACACTGTCAGGCTTTCGGTCCATGACAGAGTGACCGACTTTTTAGAGGGGGTGATACCAAAATGTTAAACAGAGCAAAGGGGACCAAATGAGATGTTTGTTGTTAGGGTTTCTGTACTCTTTAAGAGGATGAGAAAAAGTTTCTGGAAGTTCTGTTTCAAAACACAGCTATGCATGCAAAGGGAATGGCTGCTATATGATCACCCTACACACATCTCTGTCTCCCTGTACAGAATGACCCTGTAACACTGGCGAGTGACGGAGCTGCCTTAGGGCACGTCAGCCATCCAGCACGCCGCGCATGCGCCCCCGACCCTGTATTAATGTATACGCTGATGGTGCTGCTTGCATCTGACTTGTTCATAATCGAAGCCTTTAGAGGCTGTGTGTATATCTGAACTAGTAAATATGTTGCTCCCTGCCCAGAATAATAGGAATTGCAGTCCCAATATACTTCAGGCTCTGTATACTTGTGATCACAAAGGAGGTTTCTAGAAGGAGATGTTGACAAATTAAAATCTTGACTGCAGGGTTGCAATAAAAGTCTGTCTTTATTGTGTTTTGGTACACTTTAGATGTAATCCTTTTGTTACTCTGGAAGAAATACCCCCTTTCAGGGCGGCTTTAAAACAGTAAAAAAAAACACTTTTCTTTGTACTTAACTGAATTAGATTAGATCTGTCACTCTCATATAAACACATACCCTTGAATCATTAAATAAACACGAAATATTTTGAAAGATGCAACATTTCTCTTCTCTACTGCACAGTTGTTTGCAATAAAGTGATATCCTCTAAATATTAGAGAAAAAAAAAACAGATTTGAACAATGAAGAATATGAGAAGACAATCAAATTGTTGCTCGTTGCAATCAGTTGGATTCCTTGATTTATTTTCTCCGGGAGTAAAAGAAGAAAATAATTGGTCGCTATGGGTAGTAACTCTGCTTTTGTTCTCAGCTTTTTCCCAACCTTTTGTCTTTAAATGGACCTACTATAATTGCTCCCCTTAAAGTGAACCTAAAATGAAAAAAATATAACAGATTCAGGCATAGCACAACCGGCACCTTCAAGTGCAACTGAAGGGAAAACGTTTGTTTAGTTTTGGTTAGAGTGGAGAGGACACCTGTCACGTTTTTATTGCTGTATGTGTCACCGTTAGGAAGATCCACCCACTCTGTTCTGGTGAACGTGATAAATGAAAGTGGAAGTGAATGAAAATCCCAACATTTGGGTTGTCACCAGAACAGTATTAGATGGGAGCTCTTCCAATGGGGACAATAGTTTTAGTGGCCCTGCTGACCCCAAAGAAATTTCCTCACTTTGGAGGGATTTACTCTGACTTCCTGTTGTGTAAAAAGTTTTAGCTTCAGTTCAACTTTAATCCTTGTGTGCTGCCTGCATGTAAGGCCAGTCCTCCTGCGAAATAACCTGAGTCCCCTGAATCCCTGGGCCCACTAGCATTTAAATATTGGGTTACCTCATCTCTGCCTTCTAATTGTCACTCTTTGCTACAAAAGTCATCTATCACAATGGTGATGAAGGTATGAAGGGGTAGATCTAGGCTCTCTAAGGAGGAGGATTAACCCAATGACACCTGGAGGTGCCTGAAACGTTTAGCTAGGAGCAGCTTAGGTAAGTTTTTCCCGCTTCAGATTCACAAATATAACAAGTTTTTTATTTTTAAAAAGCAACTACATATTTATTAACACATTCTGGATAAGAAAAACGAATGGTATCTATTGCCTAAGAAAGTACGGTGTTGGTTTGTGGCAGCACGGAATACTCATATTTCTTTAAAAAACCTAATATATTGCTGAAATTAAAAAGAAAAATCTTGTTATGTTTGATTTTCTCTTGGCAGGAGTATGGAAAGAGTTTTTAGAAAATGTGACAGCTGAGATTTATAGCTATAATGGTGACAGGTTTAATCAGAAAATGTAAATTATTGGTAAATACTATTGACGTGGAATAGATGTTGGTAAAAAAGAAGGAGGGGAGGGGGGGTATCCATCAAGGTCAGAGGGAGACTAGCAAAGAATGTGATCTACATACTTCTTCAATCCAACTTTCAAATCCATTGATGGCATTCCCATGACATGGACCACTTAATAACAGCAGGAGGGAGGTGTTCAGAACGATATGATTTTAATATAACAGTTTTAGCACTCAAGTGTCACCACTGCCTGACATATCTGAACTGTGGGATAATTTAGTGCTGTTTTATCATCCTGTCATCAAAAGGCAGCTGAGAGTTATGTGAAATGATATTGATGTTTATACAGAGCAACCTCTAGCATCCTGCTTCATAAATGATATCCCTGAATGGACAACATGGTAACATTGTGATATACCGCTGGGCTCATTACTTATAATATACTGTGAACGCAAAGCTGTACAGGATTGCTTTAATTAAAGAATTTTGCTAAACACTGTTTATACGTACAAATGGTAATACATATACAATTGCTTACTATTCTTTTAATTTATGATGTCCAAGTGCTTCCCTCTGCTAGATATGAGTGAACTATCAACATTTTAGTAGTTTTTTTCTCTACACCCTTTACAGATCACATAACCAGAGGGTGAGCCGCTAATTTAGAGCCTATATCTATGCAGCTACCATGACCACAGTGGTGCAGTAGAGCCTGATTTTCTGACATTCCTACTATCAGCCTGGTTTCTAGTATAATTTTGTATATTAAATATAAAGATTGCATTCAGGTACATGCAGTATATACTAGAAGGAATTAAATAATAATATCACCACATTAAAGCCCAACTCTAGTTATTTTTAATTTTTTTTAGTTTTTGATAGACTGCCAAGTGTTTACTGCTGCTTGTGACCCAATTTGGGACATTTCACTTAATTTTCTGTCCCTGTAACAGCAGGACAAGAAACAGGAGGAATGGTTGTCACTTGGACAGGAACACACAGATCATTTAAACCTTACAGAGGCTCTAACACTTCACCATTTTATTGGAAAAAAAAATAACTTCTTGTCCGGACAGTAGTGAAAAATCTCTCCAATGGGAACACTGACTGCAAATAGAAACCTAGCAGGCGTTTTGACCCTTCCCAACGCTGTCAAAAACGAAAACAAAATAACTTGGCTGGAGTTAGACTGTAAATTGTATTTTTTTGTTGGAATTTCACCATAAGGGCCTATTCACACCTTTGCACAAAAGGCAGGTGTTTTTTTTTTACGTGGTCCAAGTCTCATTTAGAATTTTCAGGATCTTTTATCTTCCAGTTGTGTAGGACGCCTGGACCTCCTCTGCGCTCCCTGGTTTAATCCGCCAGCCCCTACATCACCACTGTGTCCTGTAGTGAAATAGGGACTGAAGGAAAGAGTGGTTTCTTCTGCTGGCTTCTATGCCAGTAAAGGAAGGGACCAGATATCCAACACAGCACTAAATGTGTTGGATGTGGCGTTTTTTCTTCAGGTGCCCCTGAAAAGAGGGAAGATCCATTGCAGTGAGAGAGGTAGGTATGAAGGGAAGATCCATGGCTCTGAGAGAGATAAGTATAGAGGGAAAATCCATGTCTCTGAGAGAGGTAACTGTAGAGGGAAGATCCATGTCACTGAGATAGGTGGGAAGATCTATGGCACCAACCAAGTATAATACTAGTTCTTTTGCAGGGAGCTTCTTTATGATTTTTTTGTAGGGACAATACTGTCTTAATAACACTTGCTTTCTAAAATTTGTGGATCCAAAGTAAAGCAGGAATACCTTTTTGGTGGACTAGACAGCAGTGAGCAAAAAACTGTCTGACTATGTCTAGGTTTTTGAACGAGGATATGGATAGTTTATCCTGCTCATTTCACAAAAGTGTGTGTGTTTGCTGGGCTTTATTTTTTGGAATGTACCTGATATAACCTACTGGTTGATGTTAACATGGATGTTTATTTATAGGTGACTACTGTGTGTAGTAAAGATGGGACATGGACAGAAAAACTGAGCCTCTGTGAGGGACTTACAGGGACATGCCCTCCACTGCCAGAAATCAATGACATCCACTACACGTGTGAGAATGGACGATTGATTGGTAAGGAATATTTTGAAAGAGAACATATTTTATATTTTTTTTCAGCTCATCCTCATAATTATTACCCTTTGAAGATAATTTTTGAGAGCTGACTCATGGTTAGTAATGTGTGCCTACATCATTTTAATAGCATAGTAAATGGGTGGCAAAGTAGTTGTTGATGCCAGAGCTTACACCAGGGAATAGCACGCCTTTGCAAATATGAATCATGGTTGTTTGCCTGTCACTTTTTTTCAGCTTTGCTTTCTAAAACACATTGCAATGCAACCTGTTTCTTGGTGTTTTCTGCCCATAGGAGCTAACTGCACAGCTTCCTGTGTCTATCCACCCAATGACCCAGTGATCCTACCAGACAACATGACACCTGATTCTGTAGAGCACTGGATGAACCCTACCAAAGTGCAGGTATGATGATCGTAAATATACTGGCACAGGTACTGCTTGGATACATTGTTTATTTTGAGAATTCATTGAAATACAATCTATCACAATTATACTGTTAATATCACTTGGAAGCAAGAGAGTGCCTTTTTGGTAAAACCATATTGTAGGAAGGGCAGCATGTTGCAGTTGCTTGAGTGAATTTAGCCCTTCCTATGTACCAAAGAAGCTGAACATCAGTGCAGGCAGGATCTGACTGCTCTCTTAGAAGACACTTGTCAGAGCACTCTATTAAAGTAGATAGTGTAGGCAATTACAATACAAACCACTCTTTTTGTTTAACCAAAAAACTGCAAAACTATGAAAATATTATCTTTATAGCATTCATATTATCGCAATACCTGTGTCTCCCAATGTACACACCAGGGCTGGGGGTGGAGTAAACGTTGCAGCATCCAGCCACTGCCGTTAATGTTATAACTGAATTGCATAGGGAAGACTGACAACTCTACCACAGCAATAGAAGTCTATGGTTAGGACTGCCACTTGCTCAAGGGAAGCCAGAAGACAAGGTCTATGCTGGCATGATAAACAGGTATTTGCACTTATCAGGCACCTAGTTAAAAAGGCTTGACATGGTAAATGTAACTTTTACTGTTAAAATAAATTACCGTTTGGGGTATATAAATACTTTATAAAGTTGTTAGTTCAGTTTGTAAGTAGTTGCAATAGTGGAGCCAGCTTAACACATGGAGGAGCAATAGCAATTGGAAAAGGTTTTCCTAACTGCTAAATAGATTGTTCTACCTGAACATGACCATGCACAGCACCCACAGACATTGGATCATAGTACAATCTGTCCAAAAATAGGTGTCTTTAAAAGTAAGGAATTTAAATGTTTAAGAATCTGAATCTCCACTTTTAAAGTGGAAGTAAAGTTTAAAAAAAAGTGCTGATGGGGAGAATTGGAGAGTTTATAACAGAAGAGACACTTTATGTCTCTTCTGTCATAATTACTGTGCCCCTGCCTGTCAACATTTGTGTGCATTGAGGCCTGCATATGCACAAGCTTGGCACAGTCCTGTGCTGAAATTAAGTATCTCCTATGGGCATATGCAGAAGTTACATCATCCTGACCTGGCCAATTAAGAGGCTGAAGGCACTGAACTCGGAAGAAGACCATATCAAGATCCGCCAGCGCCGGAGGAGAGGGCTTACATTCATGCGCTGGAGGGGTTCGCCTGCAAGGTAAGTTGGCCATAATGTGCTAATATATGGTGCATACTAGCACATTATGGCAATCACCTCCTAGGGGGTACAAATGTAGTTTTTAGTTGCCTCTGACAGGGGATGTGTTCCGTTTTTCACCTGAATTCTCTGTTACTGTTAGAGTTATAGAGTAAATAACAGCTCAGTGTAAGGCTTTGGAGGCATGACCTGTCACTGCCCATAGTTGAGCTTGGTCCCATTTCAGTGGGTAATACCATTAAGCAGAGACAGACAGGCTAAAAAGATGGGAAAGATGGTAATTTAATAAACAAATGGAAGTTGAGGAAAAATAAAGGATCACGTAACATATTTGAGCATCTACCTCTAGTAGTGGGTATTAGAAGGCATGATCTTGGGCTGCTTGGCTGTGTTATACGTTCTGGAGAAAAAATCATAAAGACAATTTTTAAGAGAAATCCAAGCGGAAAAAAGACAAGGGTAAGACTAGAGTTGTATTACCGGTGGAAAAAGAAGACATAAAAAAACTAGGAGTCCGAATATAGGGATTCAATTAACAAATATAGTGACATAGGCTAAAATTATGCAGGAGACCAGTGCTCTTCAAGGGCTGTGAAACAAATGTGATAGAGTCCAACAAAAGATTCTTATTTCCGTTTATTGTTAAAATGCACAAACAGCCGAAAGTAACATTGTCAGGACAGCTAACATGTTTTGTTAAAAAGCCTTGATCACAGCTCTTCAAGGGCTATAGTTCCAGAGAAAGAGTCTGGGGTGGGTGCTTCTCTTTTAATAAGATACTTTAAAGATTCCCTCTCCCTCTCTCCCGTGCTTTATATAGTATGTCATTGGATATAAAATGTTTAATAACACTTTTTGATAAGTGTTACTTCTAACATAATTCCATGTGCCAGCAAGGTTGAGGCTATAGGAAACAGTTTTAGAATGATTTGGCTGACTTCCCTCAAAAAATAAAGTTTTTTTCCTATATTCATTTGAACAATTATACTGTATTGTCTTAATTGCTAATACCTACAGGATATGACTTTTGGCAATCCCATTCAGAATCTACTTTTCTCCCTGCAGTCATGTTTAATATTAAAAGAACATGATTATATTATGTGTAATAGAGAAGCATCTTCTCACCCACTTCTGCCTGTCAAATCCTATTTAAAATCATGTGAAAGACAGAAAAGAGAGGCAGAGCCCGGTATGACTTGCCAGAGAACAATAGTTCTTAATGAAATAATGGATCTGCTGTGTCCATTGTGTCTGGCTGAAATGGAGTATAGGGAAACATCAAAAGTGCACCATGCAGGTTACAGCCAGGCAAGTTGGGAGTAAGAAGCACTGCATATTAAGACCATAACCATACAGGAGCTATAATGTCAACAGAAATCGGAGGAAATTTCAGCTGTGCATGACCAGCTTTAATGAGAACCAGAAACTTTAGAAACTTGTAAGTACAAAAATGGACACCGTTTAAAGGGAACCTGGGGGGTGAAGTTGGTGACCTGTTTTTTTTCCTGAAAATGCATGTTGCCTAGCTGGCATGCTTGGCAATTACCATCTTGCTTCAATACATAGAACCACAGGCTTAAAGCTGAACTCCAGACAGATATAAAAGATACAAATGAATGACAGAAAGGTGAGCTCATGAGTCAACTGCTTCTCTATTTACTGTCCAGTCAAAGGCTGGGAAGAAAGAACAGTAAGTGTTAATGAACTGCAGAAGAGAAAAATCAGGTCTGCTGCCCTGGCAGACAGGGCTGTGCTGTGTCGCAGAGGAACTTTTCCCACCAATTTATCATCCCCCAAAACAGTTTATTTTTAAGGCATGCCAACTGTTAAGGTTGCCAGTGTGCTTATTTCAGCCCTCAACCAAACTCTCAAGCCCTCATATGGCTGGTGTCAAAGCTGATCACATGTGCAGCACCATGGCAACTGCATGAAAGATGGCGCCTTCTGTGGCTGTAAGGGATAAGAGGTTGTAGTTCCGCTTTGAGAATAGGCAGTTAGAAATACATATCAGTTGGAAAGTTAGACAGCTGCATTTTATGTATTTCATCTGTATGACTTGATTGTGTTTGTTCAGAATCTGTGGCTCAGAACATTCTAAAAAGGAAGTCAGGAATGGCTGTACCTACTGTATAATTCCTTTATCATAGGTTTACTTTAATAATTACTTACAGAAATTATTTATGGTGATAGTTGTCCAATCTGTTTCTTTAGCATCATGTATGTTCTGTGAGTCTCTTACCACTTCTGCGGTCATCCCATCTTCTTCAAAATAAGTATTGCACCATTGCTCAACCAATCTGTAAAAATGAGCATTACATACTGTACATACTGTACATATCCACCCACTATCTTATAACTGTCTTGCTTTATACCTTATATTCTGACTCCGATCGTTGTGATAGCGAAATATATCCCTTGCTGAGACCTCTATGCCTGGCCTGTATAAGCAGATATACTCACTGCGGACAATCCTCGTCAGATAGCTGAACTCGTCAATACCGATTCATTCAAAAGAGGTGTTTATTCTTTAACATCAGGTTACAGCAGATGATAGGAACAGCAGTTGAACGGTTATAGTATTGTGCGGTCAGAAAATGATGCCTTTCCTCCGTACTGTGCAGATTACCTGTGTGTCCTTGTTACATGTGGCTTTCAACTGTGGCCATGACACAGGAAGTACTGCACACAGGAAGAAGGGTGGGGCTACATACAGAGAGGAAATACATCGTAGACATCACAAAGAATCACAGAAAAACATGTACATTACAACAAAAGGCCACTAGATGGCAGCATAGGATAACACATGAATTTAGCTATGAGAAAATAGTTAGGCAAATCACACTATATAAATTCTAACCTATATAACAATGCTAATATTAACTGAGGCTATGCATCTCATATTCTATGCCCCTATTGGGGCGGCACACCTTATGTACACTAGATGGTGAATGACATTTAACGCTTGTGGTTTCTATGCTTGAATTGGTGGTCACATGCAGTCCTAGTGGTGGGGAACAATGTGATGTGTAGGTAGATGTGAGTAGCAGAGCACTGTAGCCAGCAGACTTTTGCAGGACACATTTACTGTATCTTACCAAGACAAAATGAAAGGCAAGCATTTAGCTAGGTGCTTATGTATATTGAGTTAGTTGAGTGCATATGTCCTTTTGCCCCTGGCGTCTTGGAGGTACTAGGTGTGCACAAGAACCAAACGCTGGGTGCCATTTTTCTGAACGTCCATGTGCACCTGTCTTAGGTTGTGTTTACATAAGCCAGTGAGCTGCATCTCTAGACCTCTGTTATTCTCCAAGGGTTTAGAGATGCAGCTCTCTGGCTTTTGGTGAATGGAGCTTGAAATCCCTCTCATACTGGCACGCAGCTTAGTTGTTGAAATTATTCTTCCAATATGCTGACATTTAACACTGAAACTACAGATAAGGTCTGAAATACTTGTGCCTTAAAAGCACATGACTAAACAAATCAAGCAATCTGTTATGGACCGATGGAATGGAATACAATAGTGTATATGGTTTTCTGCAATTGTTTGGAAAATAGCAAATGTTTGGATCTTTTGTTGTAGTAGCTCAAAGATCACGCCTTGCATTCTAAGCATCATTTTCTACAGTTATTAGACATGAGAATATAGCTGCACTGAACTTCATCTGTCTTGTCTGCTCCGTTCATTAAAAATTTACTACTGCCTCCTCTTTTCAAGGCGAATTGCATTTTATGGTATTACCATTGGTAATCCCAACTTTGGCTGGACACATGTAACCTCCTAAGATCCTACATTTTTACATTCCAGCGAAGTAGACTTTGTAATTCTGTGTAAATGCTGGTCATTCTATGTTTATGTGTTTTGTGATAAATGTATTTTGTCAATTTCCTCAACAGAGTATTATGTGTACAGGGACACTGAAATGGTACCCAAATCCTGCCACATTGCACTGCATTCCATCTTGTGAGGTAAGACCACCATAACTACTGAGTGACAATGTTTTAACTGTAGTTTTGCATGTCTATGCATGCATTAAATTGGCTGAACAGAATATGGCAGAATCTGAATACAGCAGATCACCCAAATCAAAATGAGAGTATGTGAATTAAATTGGCTGAACAGGATATGTCAGAATCTGAATAAGGCAGATCACCCAAATCATGTATATGAATTTCAACTGTGTATTTAACTGTTTGTCTTGAGGTCCCCTTTAAATAAATTAATATATCCAGAGTACTTGCTGAAAACGCTTATAGGTGTTATTATGGGAGTTCTATTTATGTGTATGACAACCAGATACATACTAGAAGTATGTCGCCTACACGCTAGAAGTCTTCAAAGGTGCCAACTGCTATATATCATGGATGCGCACAAAGATATAAGAACTCCCATGGTTTGAGTTGACAATAATTAGAATTCTGTAGACTTTTTTATGCCAATGGAACAGGAAAATAACTGCTTGTAAAATCTATATATTTTCTCTTTTCAATGTAAGCCGACACGTGTCCTATCTGACTTCAGGAGTGTATTTCTTTTTAATATTTTTTGTGCTGGATTTATGTTTTGTTAATTCTGGCAAAATGAGATCACCACAAAGCCTTTGTTTTTCTCTGCTCTTGAAGCTGCTGAACATGAAAAAAATCCTCTGTGCTGACAAAGACGAGACTTTCTGGCAGTGGTACAGCTTTCAAAGTACGAAGCCATATGTCAGCTGAACTGACGGCTTTATAAGCACATGTTCTGGGATTTACTAAGTGTCAATGACTTCGGTGGCAATTTATTTCCAAATCAGGGTGTGATATCTCTCATTAGTGCCTGGTGAATCTGCTCCGCAGAGAGTGATTTACTTCTGCAAAGAGATCGAATGATCTTTGAGAAAGAAATTAAACACAGCCTTCTTTTTTCCAGTGAATTCTCACAATATTTTAAAGGAATATAAATTCTGTTAAAATAGGGCCCATTATGTGAGAATTTTGGTATGGAGAATCGTTGGCTTTTGACTAGTGCCATATATTACTTGCTTTATGTTTAATTTTTGTGTGGAAATGTGAGACCCATTAAAATGTTTTAAGCAGTAATTACGAAGCTTTATGTCTCGCTCATCTTCCCTTTAACTATGTTTGAAATGCCAGGCAGTAATTGTGGTGGGCTGAGGGCATGCAGTGGGACTTGGGGTGCCCACACTTGTCCAGGCCTCATCATTATTTATGGATTCTGAGGAAGCAGTTTTGTAACTGATAAAAGCAGGCAAGTCACAAGGAATCTTCACACAAAATAGGGATTAACCATCTGTATTTTAGCTGGTACATTTCCTGTCATCAGATGTACATTTTTATATTACCCTTAACATAATATGTTTTGCTGTGACAATAGGAAGATTTTTATTTTAAAAGCAGGGGTATGGACTCACTGCGGCCATACTGCTGCTTTGTGAAAAAAAGTGTTACATTTATAAAGCACAGATGTGCTAGTGCTTTGCTGGCTTTGGGACAGATGTTGAGTATGGGCACAAACGTTTTTCTCACATATAGATTTTATGCCAAAAAATTGTACATGATGGAAGTTTTGTTGGCAATGTAGCACTTAATTATACAGTGCATTTGAGGCTTTGACATAGCTATAAAAATACCCATACCCCTTGATCTAAGAACTGTAAATTCACTAACGCTCAACATGAACCTTACTGCTAACTCTCAACCCAGTCCCTAACCTTGCTCCTTGTCCATTCAGGGAAAAGCAACAGGTTTGCTTTAATCCTCACTTCTCCAAATGGAGAGCCAAAAGAAATACCTAGTTCTTGCGATGCGTAGGAGCATGTGACTCATTTAATATGAAAGTGATGGTCCAGTTGGTGCCGATTGACCCATGAGTTCATTGCCCTGTGTAAGCCACAACTCCAGTGAGCAAGCTTGTAGCTTACACAGGACTTTCCCTTGCTTCCAGTGGCGAAGCGGTGGGACAGCGAAAGGAAGGTAAGTATATGTTGTTGGAGAGAGTAAGTTTAAGTTAATCTCTTGCTTTGCCCTACATTAGCAAAGTACAGGTTCAAGTTAACCGGTAACTTAACTCCTAACCAGGGCTTTAGCTATGTGTGATGGGGCCCCAACACAAAGACATTAAAGGGCACCCCTGTTTATGTCCATCTCAAAAGAAATGTTGCAGTGATACAGAATACTAATCACTTTCAATCATATAAAGATTTCCAAACTATATACAGTATGCGCCCATTTTTTCCAAGTGGACACTCTATAACCAAAAGCTTGTGGACAGTGTACCACCAAACCTTTATGAGCTTCTTGAACTATAGGCATTAATAAGGATTTTGCTTCCCCTTTGTAGCTATAACTGATCTGGAATGCTCTGGGGCAATTTGTGCCCATTTAGCCAAATGAGCATTTGTGAGGTCAGGTACTGACGTTAGACAAGAAGACCTGGCTCACAATCAATGTTCCAATTCATCCCAAAGGTGTTCAGTTGGGTTATGGTAAGGGCTCTGTTCAGTTTAATTAAGTTATTCAACCCCAAATTGGTCAAACTGTCTTTATGGAACTGGCTTTGTGCACCTAACTTTGTAATTAGGATGTGTGTCTACATACTTTTGGGATCCCATCTATACATTTCTTTTGTTTTGGAACCTGAAAATTGTGAATTCTGTCAAATTAACAACATTTTTGATAATTTGGGGACATCAAAATATATTGTGACCTATAGGTAGGATATGTAGTTGTTAGAGCTCTTTCTCTCTCACCAGAGTTGTAATTAGATATCTCATGAACATATATTGTAATGAGGTGCACAAAGGTGGCAAAGGGATCATGCTGCCACTGTTGTATTTCTTAGGCTTTGGTTACATGGCAGGTAAAAGGAGCCACATGTCTGTATCTGCAATTTAGTATAGAAGGCAGCATATTGCATAGAACATAGAAACATATTGCCACTTTTGCAGGGCTTGCTTTTTAACACTAGCAACTGGTGTTTGGGTTGTAATTCCCCATTAATATGCTGTAGCTTTTGGTATACATATTTAATTTGTAAAGCTGGTTATAACTTTTTTTTGTGTGGAAACTGCTGTTGCTCTTGCTGGTACAACCATATTTTTTTGCATCTGTAGCCTGAAGCAGAATTGTCTTGTTCTGATGCAGAAGATCTAACGTGAGCTGCATACAAATGTGTCATATTAACTTCAGCTAATACAATTTCTGTTCAGACATCATTTGCTTGTTTACAATCTTTGATTTCTGAACAGTTTCTCTGCATTGATATATTTTGCAGTGCTGCATATTCACGGTACTGTGGTTGATATATTACAGCAAGACAATAAATAAATTATATGACTCTTTGGCTGTGTACAAAACCAGGAACATTTCAATTTTCAAGTGAACCAGTTCTCCTGTTCACCTGCTGTAGCCAAGCAAAGTGCATACCTGACCCAAATGCTGTCATTTGGAAGTGAAGTCCTTAGCCCCCCAGACACACTTGGAACTTTAACAGGACTTTCTCACTTAGCATTGGAAGGCAGACAGGCAGTCGGAGAAGAGCAGAGGAGGAGGAGGGTAGCAAGCAGGCTAATAAGTGTCCTGAATGAGTATAGTACAGGTACATCTAAAACACTGGAAACTAATAAAGCCCTTCTGGACAGCACGTACCAGCTTTGTGGGATCCAACCTTCCAGGTGACACTGACATTGATTCACTTGCTGCATGCTACTACAATGGCACCTTTTGAATGCCATTAAATATCTTATACCGAAGCACTGGAGGTTCCTCTCCCCATTGCAGTTATGGAATGGTTAGTTAAAATCAAGCAAATAACACTGATGGAAGAATTAACTCATATTTTCAAGGACATACATTATAAATATTATAACAAATGGGCAACCTGGCTACACTTTTTAAAGTCACATCTCACTTCAGCATGAAACTTAACATTCTTCTAGGACTTATCTATAGAAAGGGAGATAAAACCAAGTAAGACTCTGATGAAAACCTTCTACTCTCGATACCCCTGAACACAGCTTTACTAGTGGAAGCAGACTGCAGGAACTTCTTGTCAGGGTTTCTTATCCTTCCTTGTCCAGTTGCTTGCAGCATTGGCTTGTTTGCAGTGTCTTGGACACTGTTTGTTTTTCCAAAATGTTTTTCCATAATTTTTCCAAAATGTGCCATTGCATACCATTTAAGAAGTTTCCCACAGCTTAGAAGCTTGCCTCAGTGTTTGCCAGGGAGGTCTTCTGTTTACATGTTATACCTAAGGAGATAATCCCCGACTGGGGTAGCCTGTTTGTATCTAGGTTCTGGCAGGCCTTTTGCACTAAGTTGGGAATTCGACTCTCCTTCTCCTTGGCCTATCATCCACAATTCCATGGCACAGCTGAGCGATTCAACCTAGTCCTGGAACAATTCCTCAGCTGCTATGTCTCGGACCATCATGACAATTGGGCTGATCTTCTACCCTGGGCAGAGTTTGCTAAAAACAATGCTATCAACTAATTCCCCCAAATGTCCCCCTTCATGGCTAACTATGGGTTTCAGCCATCTGTGTTACCCAAATCTTTTACACCTCAGAACATTCCAGCTTTGGAGGATCACATTCGGGAGCTCCATTCCTCTTGGGTGCAGATTGAGAGTTCCCTTCATGCCTCTATGCAGCGCCAAAAGATACAGGCAGATCATAGGCATCTACCCGTTGCTTCCTACCAGGTCGGGGAGAGGGTGTGGCTGTTGGCCCGTAACCTCAACCTCAGAGTGCCTACTCCAAAATTGGCACCCCGTTTTATTGGGTTTTTCCGTATTCTCCTACGTGCCTAGTTGCCTATGCTCTTGACCTCTCTTCTAGCATGCATATCTCCAATGTTTGTCATGTATTCTCCTGAAGCCCCTAGTGTGTAATCATTACACTACCACTCCTCCTCATACCATTTCTGGTGGCAACCATGAGGGGTATGAAATATGTAGCATTCTCGACTCTCGTCGGGTCAGGGGCCAAATCCAGTACCTGGTCCACTGGAAAGGCTATGGTCCGGAGGAGCGTTCTTGGGTTCCTTCCACTGATGTTCACGGCTCCACTCTCCTCAGTGCTCCTGTTGGCTTTTGTTTCCATTCCATTGACTCTCAGTGTTCCCTGACCTGGGTACGGCTGACTACCTGCTTTGGCATCTGGCCTCTCTGCATTGTTTTTTGCCATTTATGTTTACCGTTGTTTTCAACAAACTCCTTTTATTTTTTAAACCTGCACTTTAAGTTTGTGTCTGATTTCTTGATTCTCTAACATTTCTGTCACCTACCTGTATTCCTCCCCTCCTCTGCCCCCCTTTCCCTGTATGGTCGAACCTTATGGTATGTTATGTAATACGTACAGGAAAATGTACTGTTGTTTGTTGGTATTGTTGTCTAGAACAATGTTGTTCTATTATATTGTCTCATAAAGGTGAATAGAAACTAAATATACTGTATAACAAAACAGTGGAGGGGGCAGGCATACATTTGTGTGAAAAAGTTTGTGGATCTTTTTTGGAATTACCTGGATTTATGCCTCAGTGGTTCCTAAAATGTAGTCTCAAGTTCAGTCACGTCTCAATAGTAGATGATCACAGCCTGGTTAAACCAGTAACACACAGAAAATTGTATTTCACCATGTATTTATCAAACACATTTTTAAACATTCACAATCCAGACTGGCAAAAGTGAACCTTTGCATTTATTTAGTGGTAGCACCTAAGAAAGAGCTTCTCTCTCAAAAATATACAGTAGCTTCTTATCAGATGTTCTCAAAAGTTGAGGAATTGTAAACCATTTCTCTATTTCTCAGCTCATCAGTGTTACAGGGATTCTTTGCGTGAACAGCTCTCTTCCCTTAATTCCACAGCGCATGTTATTTGGTTATCATCTGTACACTGACTTGACCATTCCAAACTATAGATTTGTTTTTGTTTATGTAGCTCTGTTTTAGATGTGCTGCTGTGTTTTGGGTCATTGTCTTGTTGTATCACCCAACTCTTATTAAGATTGAGGTTGACTGACCACCACCCTGATGTTCTCTTGTAAAATTATTTGCTGCATTTGTGATTTTAGTATTATTATTTATGTAAACGGGTGCTATAGTCCAGGCCTTTTGGCAGCAAAGCTACCAAAAAGCATTATGTACCCTCTACCATGCTTCACAGTTGAGATAAGTTGGTTTGTGGTTCAATTTTAGATTCTAATCACGGCATTGCATGTGTCTGCTTCAAAGTTCAATCTTTGCTACATCTTTCCACAAACCATTGTTCTAGAAGCATTTTTAAGCATTTAGCTGATCTTCACCAAACTTAGGACACGCAGCAATGGTTTTTTTGGAGACCAACAATTACCTTCTTGGTGACCTTCTACAAAACCCTTTGCTGTTCACTGATGTTCTCATAGTATACACATGAACAGAAAGCTTGACAAATTCTAGAGATTTTTGCAAGTTCTTTATTTTTCACCTATTTCATCACTGCTGGTTGAAGTTTTGCAGTGATCTTTGCAGAATGCCTGAGTACGAGAGTCTGCAGAAAGGGTTGTGGGGGAAGCTGAAACATTAACTGGGTTATTCACAAAAGGGTGAAGAGTTTAGAGAAGGCAGGAGAATTGAACAATCTAGTCCAAGTAGGTGATTTGGAAAAATTCTCCAATTCAGTTCACTTTCCAGTTCAGCTATGTTGTTTTAGATAGTTAACTTTCCCTGCCTTCTCCAAACTCTTCACCCTTTTGTGAATAGTCCTGTAAAATTTGTGATGTGATCGCTTTGATGTTTGAATAAAAATTTTAACTTTACTTTAAATATTCAAGGCATGCTGGAAATATATTTTATCTATGCTTATGCAGTGCCAATTTAAATATCTTCATCAACCCTTTAAAGAATTTCTCCTCGTAAAAGGAAAGCAGTGGTACTGTATGTTCACCAGTTGTAGACAGTTTTTCTTAATGTGCCTTGATGAATGTGTGCATTTAGAAATCCTTTTGAGGTTTTTTTCAACTTGCATCTCATAAATGTAGGGCATGGTTCACATAGACAAATCACTCTTGACAAAAATAACAAACGTTGTATGCAGAGCCGTAGCTAGCTCCTTTTGCGCCCGAGGCAACAACAGAAAATGATGCCCCCAACAGACGTGTGCGGTATGTGATGTCATGCGCCCCACCTCCAGAATGCGCTGGTGGCCAAATCCAAAATAGCATAAAAATGTGTTTTGTTTGACAAAACTAATTAAAATATTTTTAGTTTCCGTTCATTTTGTCCGAAACTAATTTGTAGTCTTTGCACATGTCTAATAATATGTGTGCATGAGTGTGTGTGTGGTGTTTTTGTTTTCATTATAATTTTACTGACATTTCCCCTTTGAAATAGAAAAAGAGGACGCAGAGTCATCTGCCCATACAGATGGGGGAGAGCAGCGGGGATCCGAGGAGAAGCGGGAGCCTGTGCCGCTCCTCTTCTCCCTGCTGAGTCGCGGCTTTGTTGGCTACCTGGTGCCCCTGTTGCCAATGGTGTCCTGTGCTCGCCATGGCAACAGGGGCGAGGGGGCGCAGCAAGTTCGGCCCTGGCTACGCCCCCATCTCAGCTGCGCCTGAGGCGAGTGCCTCACTCGCCCCATGGTAGCTACAGCCTTGGTTGTATGCCTTTAAACTACACTAGTAGTGATAATATAACTTAACTGAAATACCTGCAGCAGGGGCTGCCTGGCAACTTTTGACGCAGAGAGTAAGTACAACTCAGAGGCCCATGCTGCAGCGATTCAACCCCCACTCACCTCACCCCTTCCCCTGCCTCCTCCCCGCCCCGCCTGCCACTTTCATGTATGTATCACATATATGCGATACTGCTTGTACTGTGCAGTACTACGTGTGCAATTATGAGGGGAGCGGTGCAGCCTTTTTACAGGGCAATTGTAGGGCCATCTTTAATATTAATTGGGCCCTGGGAAAGATTCTGCTTAAGGACCCCCACAACCCTCCTGCCTCCATCACAACTTCCCGACCCAGACACACCTACATCACCATCACTGCACTGGACAGCCATTATTGGGCCCTGCAGACAGGACCAATGCTATACTGTTTAGCTCCTTAGGCCAGCTACTTGCACCTTTCCCCCCGCTCCAATGCATTAGGTATGGGGGTAGTCGTGCATACCACAGGCACCGGAGCATGGGTGGTGCATAGCACAGATTGAGGGGCTGCACACTGCATAGAGAGAGGGACATTAAGGGTGATTAAAAAAATGCAACACTCACACTGGTTCCTCCTGCATCCCCCACAATCCTGGGGGAGATAGAGAGAGAGACCCGAACTGCCCTATGTCCCCCTCCCACGCTATGCCCCTGCTACCATCTGACCCACTTTGTCCATTCACTGCAGCCTGCCTCCTGTAGTGCCTACAATATACAAGGTGGAAGGAGAAACCACAGCAGCTTCTGGGAGGAGAAACGTGCTGCTGCCAACATCGCTGACCGCCTCCGTGCTGCCTGGGGAACGGCATTGCCATTACAGCAGCCCAGCCTGCAGGGCATCAGAGAGGCCCAGGGGCTGCAGCTATTGTAAAGGGTTCACAATTTTTTTTCAGCAGGGATCTTGACTGTTTAAATACATTTCCTAATGAAGATGCAACAATGTTACTGTTTTTGTGTGCTGTTTGTGTTGGTTTATTATTAGTTTAATGAAAATCATATCAGATTTTAGGAGTCATTTAAATTAGGTAGATCCAAAGAGTTTTGCAACTGTTTTCCTTCAACTGGAAACAAGGAACCAAGGCCCCCACAATGTTAACACACGTGGAGTGGGGGAAAGGGTTGACAGCAGTACATCTGTTTCTGCCTTTGGCAATGGTAGGAAGTTACAGTGCATGGTATGGAAATTAATGAAGAAATAAACGGTACTAATTACCATTTACATTTGTGCAAATAATGACTTCATTTTTTTTGTTTACCCATCAGTTAATTATAATGATACATTATCTATAGTATAATGTGACAATCACTCATATTTCTAAAAGAGCTCCTAATGTCCTCTCCCACCAAGATTTGAAACTAATGTTTTCCTGTAAATTGTCAGTTATTAATATATTGTGTAATATGTATTATTGAGTCACTGTACTGGCGTTGTACATTACTCTGTAAAAAAAAAAAAGCTTAAATATTTACTTATTTTTAAATACTTCACATTCTTTGTGGATCAAGTGACAGGGAATAAAAATGGTGGGGCATGGGAAAGGATAGGGAAGGAAAGTAAATTGTAGCGTGGCAAAAATGGGTGAGAGTGACTACAGGAAAGAAAATAAGAGGATGAAAAAAGGAATGTGATAGGAAAATGTTTGATTAGAAAACGCATAGGAGATAAAGGTGAAGCAGGAAAGGTAATGATAGGGTGGGAAAGGAAAGGCAAGGTAAGGAAGGTAATGACAGAGTGGAAAAGATATGGGAAAGGAACCTGTTGGCAGCAAGGAAATGATAGGATGGAAAAGGAAAGAAAAGTAAAGATGATTGAGAGACCCTGGAAACACAATATTATCCATTTTTAGTTCTCAGGAACAAGTTGATTTAACTGGTATTCACAATCATGCCATTAGCACCCGTTCCACATTCTACTCTGGTTCTGTCTATTGTCTGTCACAATATGTAGGCTGTATTCTATTCCATTTTTTAATGGAAGCCGACATAGCAAATGCTACAGTTCTTAGTCTGCTAAAAGTGTTTCACATTTATCCACCTACAAATTGGAAATGTATCTAACAGACAAAGCATTTCATCTGAGCAATTTTCTGCAAGCCAGAAAAAAAAATATTGTTCTCTCTATACCCTCCGAGTCAAAGCTGTAAAGGTTATGTACGTTCTATTGATTTCCTCTGTGTATTGTGTTGACTGACTCTGTGTTCCTGTGTAGCCCTTTCAAGCAGATGGCTGGTGTGACACAATTAATAACCGCGCGTATTGTCAGTATGACGGAGGAGACTGCTGTGCCTCTACCCTGTCCTCACACAAGGTAAGGAAACAATTTAACTAGCCAGACATATCTTTCCAAACAATGATCTCTCTGTTCATGAACACAATTTTACACGTTCAAATTGCAGTTTAACTGATAAAAAATGAATGTCTTTTTATCAACAGTAACAAAAATGACACTTGCTATCTTGACATAGTAAGATAATAAGCCTATAGGAGTGACATACAGTGGGTCAACATCAATATATTCGAACTCTGTTGACCCAGAAGAAAAATAAGAAAATATTAAAAAAAACCTAGTGCGCTAACTTTTACATTATCCTCACAACCACGTGGTGCAGGTGGCTTTACCTCATCAACGGCAGATAAAAACGGAACTGGAAGCAACTAAAAATATTCTTGAGGCTAGGTTCACACCATTTTACGGACCAGATCTGGAACGTGGTGCATTGTGTTTTGCTGCGTTTTTACCAGACCAGACAAAATGAGACATGCAGTATTTTTCTGGTCTGGTCTGGAACGGACTGCGCTGGTGTGAACAGAGGCCAGAAAAGGCATAGGGATACATCAGGATGCATTTTGGATCCGTAAACAATCTAGTCTGGTCTCGGGATGATCTGGATGTGGTGTGAATGGGCTCTGAATCCAAGTATTAAACTCAAGAGTTAAATGTAAAAAATGCATTCAAGTACCTTAACTATTAACAAAAATTTAGCTTACATGTATATCACTCAGCTGTAGATCCTCAAATTATCTCTGAATTGGTGCTGACACTGTCCTTCCTTCTGGAGGGTGGCTACTTTTGTTCCCCACGGTCCCTGTGTGTGTTGTAGAGTAGCCACCGCTCCAAGCTCACTCCTGTGATGGACTACAATCTCACGTTCAGTCTAGCACTTTGTATTGATATTGTAGTCCACCAAGGGGGTGAGCTTGGAATGGTGGCTACTCTACACACACTGGGACCATGGGGAACAAAAGTAGCCACCCTCCAGAAGGAAGGACAGTGCCTGCATGAATTCACAAATGATTTGAGGATCTACAGCTGAGTGATTCACAAATAAGATACATTTTTGTTAATAGTTAATGTACTTGAATGCATTTGTAAGACTCCTGAGTTTAGTGTCACATTAAATAAAAAGATAAACATTCTTTTACATTTTGAATAGAGTAGGGAATGGTTAAACCCTCAGTTTGTTTGCTTTCTGTGTCCCTGGAGACAGAAGAAGTAAAACATTGGATAAAATGACAGTTGTCACTGGAAGAGTTGCCCTCCACTCCTGTTTCAGTGACACTGTAAAACACCACAGGGGAGTCTGAATGGGGACTCGGCCATCATATTTCTGGCATCACCAACAAAAACTCACAGTTTTGCCAACTATAACTACCTGTGTATAAATGTGTGTATGGGCATTTTGTATTCATCCTTTGCTTGTACAGCTATAATATACAGAGATGAATTATCAGGGAAATGACAACAACTCTATACTCATTTTGAAGGGTCAGGTGGTTCCTTTTGGAGCTGAATGTGAGGAAGATGAGTGTACTTGCCGTGACCCAGTGGCAGAAGAGAACAGATCTAAAAAAGTGGATTGGGCTGGACTTTCGCCACAGGCACTTGGGGACATGCGTAATCCACCAACTACTTGAGGAACCTCTGTAGAAGATGTCATGGTCAACAGTTGTGTGAGCGTCATCAAAACCATCTGGGACTAGTAATGGCCTCTTGATATGGAATATCTTAAAGAGATATGTCATTGTAGAATGTCGATTTTCTGAATGAAAATTCAAAGTGGAAGTATAGAACATTTGTACAAAATTGCATCCGTGTCTGGGAATTTTATTATCCAGACCTTCATTCTGATGTCTACCATATTTGGCCTGAAGTTCTAGAAAGCCTCCATTCACTTTTTCACTTTACAGCATTCCATGATCTGCCTGTGCTATATAGACTAAAGCTTAGTAACCAAAGGCAGATGTTTGTCCCAATATTTGCTGTCAAATGTATTTTATAAGATTATAATATATGAATAAATATCAGGGTATTACTGTAAATATTCTTTATGGTTTACACGTATATATTGGTTTGTTTGATTTTTGTCTTGGGTGTTGGTTTAACTTCAGTTTCTGATTTATCTTGTGATTTCCTACAAAGGCAATATCTCTGTCAGGTTTGATGTTGTAAAGCAACACATTCAGTACAGTACAGTACAGTTCAGCACAGTACTTTACTAGATTTTACTTTGGTGATGAGCTAATGCTGAGAGGTTAAATCACAAATAGGGGTTTCCTACTGCTGAGTTCCCAGCTCCACCACACCTGCTATGTTTTTCTTCTGGCTAGATTTTGCTTTAGTCATTTATATAGACATTGCAACAGGGCCAGTGAGTTGGCCTTCTGGGGTGTTAAAACAGTGATATAAGTGAGCTAAGTTGGGCACTTTGGAGTGCAGATCCACACACAAAAAAATTATTTCCAAGATGTAAGGCAGTGAATGAACCCGCCATCATCCAAACCAAACTGAACTCTCAAAGTTCAATGGGTACTTCTTTTAGGTGGAACTAAAATTTAAAAAAGGTGAAGATTTGCTATGTGATAGGCAGAATCTAGAAATGTTAATTGTGCCTGAGCAATACCCTGAACAGTGTACTTGTGTCTTGAATTTGACAGCTTTCAGAGCCTAGTCTACACGGTATGTATCGTCGGGTGATCGGTGCTGTTTTGCCGCGATATGGGTCCCCTGAGACGCCGGCGAGGAGCGGAGCTGCTTTAGGGCACGTCAGCCATCCAGCGTGCCGCGCATGCGCCCTCGAGCCTAGTCTACTTTTAATGGTCTTAACTTTTTTATTTTACAAATTCATTGTCAGCGTTTTTTTGTTTTTGTTTTTTTTAACAATCACAGATAAACATGCAAATCTTACAAAAGATAGCAGAGAACAGTTAAAATGAACTTGGCATAATGGAGTCTGTTTTGGTCAGCTCACAGCTGTCCAGTAATTGCATAGCTGGAAATAACCCACTGTATATAACACTTTTATTAAAAAAATGTTTGTGTCAGGTTGCATTCAACAATAACTAGGAGAGATGAAAACAAGCACAGGGAAAATACATTGATCATGAACAATATGAAGAATAGGTCTGGCACATTTTCTTCCAATCAGTTATTAAAGGGAAACTCCAATTAAAAAAGATAAAATTTACAAAATTGGAAAAAAAAATAGAATATAGCCTATATTATTGCTATACAAGCCATTGCCATTTGTAAATTAATTTTATTTAAAAAAATCACTTTTCCATTTAAAACTGCATCTGCTGTAATTTCCTAAAACGGTCATAAAATCTATGCAATGTGATGACCTGGAGATTTTATGTACAGAGTTGGTGTGCAGAATTGGCAGCTGTCTGCACTAAGTTACAAGTAAAATGTTAGGCATCCCTGGTAATAGGAATTTAATTTTGTTGTGAGATATTACTGCAACTTTCCTCATTACAACAAAGAAGGTTCACCAGCTGATTATAATGAACATAGACCATCCCATTCAGGAATCAGTTTGCAAAGGACATGCTGGAACAAGCAGGTATTTCATCAGAATATAAAAAAGTAGGAATCTGCACAAAGTTTGTTAAAGGAGAACTATGGGGTCAGTTTTTTCCCCCATAGTTCTCCTTAGGGTAACGGGAGGACACAAACTAGCGTCCTCCCGTTACAATAAGCTCAGTATACCGCGAGCTACAGCTCGCGGTATACTGAGACGCCGCACCCGGAGCGGATCCCGACTTAGATGACGGGATCCGCCCAGCTGCATGAGTGACAGCTGGCTCTGCCTATCTAGAGGCAGAGCCAGCTGTACCCGCCCCTCCCCCGTCCGTTCCGCCAGTCAGCGCTGGCGGAGCGGGGAGAGGGGAATCCAGCCCATCCCCCTGTCACGGCAGAGAGCCGTGACAGGATCGAGAGGCGAGCGAACCCGGTATGTGTTCGCTCACCTCCCGATCTACTGAGCCGACCTGTGACAGTCTCATTGTCACAGATCAGCTAGAACTATGAGGTGAGTGAAAAGCACTCACCTCATAGTTCTCCTTTAAAATATTTGCAGTGTACATTGATCACCCAGAGGGGATTGATGTTTTTTCAACAAAAGTTACGCATTATTAAAATACAAAAAAACCCTTGGATATCTAAAGGATCCTATTGCATCTCTAAATTATACAATCAAATGACAGTCGCCCACTGGGGCCATTTATATTTAGACCAGTTGCCCCATGTACATCCTCATTAAAGTAAACCTGTGCTTTGGTCATAGAAAGGCAAAGGAACAGGCTCATTTTGATTCCCCTTTTCCCTCCCCAGCCGCATATATTCACCATCCTTCATTCCACCACTGCTGCATTTAGTCACTGGGAATTAGAAAAATAAACCCTTTGTAGGTTCTGAGAACTGAGAACTCTTGCTGCCTCATGTGTCCTTCTTGGACCACATCCAAGCATCGACCATGTCACATGACATGAGTCACCAAACTACGGGGTACATTCTTATCTCCTCGAGTGAAATTAAGGAAAGGTTTATATATACTTCTGGGTGTGAGAGGTGGAGCATTAAAGAGAACCATTTACTTTGCCCTGTGTGAGCAAAGCACTGATTTGCATTAAACACATGCTGGGTAGGAATGAAAGTTTATGGTTAGGTAGCTGCTGGCATATATTGGTTCCTAGGTGCAGTCAAATCATACCTGTCCGTCATACCACTCTTTAATGTCCATAGACATTTTAAATCTTTGTTGAACTGGCTATTCCATTGGACCTGGCCCCTAACAAATGCCTCATAGCCTACCATTCAAAGTTTTTAAAAAGAGTATTTTATTATGAAGCATCCAGAAAAAGGGAGACTATTTGGGAAACGTGTAAGTATGTATTCATGCAAACCATTAACCCTTTAGAAAATTAACCATCTCCAGCATGCAATCTAAACCTATTGCAACCTTAAGATTCCTATATACTGGTAAAATTTTGGATGGTTTTTAATGTACCGGCCGAAATTTGCATAGTGTGTGGGGCTGTTGGCTCCCTTTCAGCCAGCATTCCTCGATCAGTTCTGATTGGGTGTTCTGACAGGTGCCGTAAACAGCGGGATTGTACAATGTAAGCAGCGGGATTCCTTAAATCAGCATGCTGTTTGTGTTGATGAAGGAGTCGGGTCAATTTTTTTCGTTCAGCCCCGTGGGTTGAACGAAAAAAAAATTGATAAGTGTATCCCCAGCCATAGTCTAAAAGATGTAACCCTTGACCTGATGATGATCTGATTGTTTAAACACACAACAGGATCATGCATATATCATTCCTTGAACAGTATATAAATATATATATATATATATATATAAAATATGATATATATATATATATATTTAGATAATGGCCAACCTTTAAAAACTGGACAACATTCTCTACTTTTTACTAGATACGCTTTGCAGAACTGTCCTTATGAAGGCTCCTTTTGTCTAATGTGGCAGCTCACACAGAGGAATGGGCTATACAACAGAGTACAGAACTGTTAAATATCATATTTCTCCACAGGTGTGCGAACATTTACATGGTTCTGAATGATGTTATTAGTAGTTTTTTTGCATAATGTCATTTTTTTACATGTGTCCTTAGCCTGGCAACATATTGAGTTTAAACAATGATTTAAGAACAATGCAGAAAAAGACATATTGCCCATATCATACACTCAGTTTCAAATGTTATTGTTTGAATAAATTAACCATTAAATCTGATTGATTATGATGGGAAACAGCTTCACTGTTGCTATACTTGCTGTCTTTCTGCTGCAGCGTTTGAAAAACCACAAACTGTAAAGAGGTACATCTCCAGCTGTGACCAGTGAGAAATGTTCGGATCAGGATTTGAACATGTATCATTGGACTCAATTATAAACTATTTATAGAGTTGGTGACTATTCCTTCAGGCCTTACAATATCAGATTTGACAAAAAGTTAAAGTTGCCATTTAAAAGTGACCTGATATGAGGTACATACTGTATGTGGGCTGCCATTCTTGCATTTGACAATGCTGGTTCCCTGTGATAATTTTCCTCTGATTTCAATACCTCCTGAGCTACTAACCAAGAATAAGTATACAGAAAAGGATTTCTGACTCATGTCTGACTTCAAACAGAAGTAAAGGCTCAAGTTGCCACTCCTTCCCCCACTTCTGCCATATCCTCTATCACTGTTTCCAGGTCTGCAATGCTCTCTTCAGCTATTGGGTAGCCAATGATGATGTAACTCCTGTGCATCTTCCAGATTCAGGAAATAAGCGAGGGCTCTACACTGCACCATTCAGTGTAGCTAGAAAAAAAAACTGCTAGGAGCTCGGGGGAAACTATTTTTTCTAGGCTTTATATGTCTCCTAGTTACATAGTTAGTCAGGTTGAAAAAAGATACACAAGTCCATCAAGTTCAATCTATAGAGATAAGAGAAAAAAGAAAAGGGGTGCCAAGGAACCCCTAAATTATAGGTTTTTTTTGTGGGACTTCAGTTAGGCCCCTTTCACACGGGCTGGTCAGGAGAAGATCCATGCATGGATCCTCTCTTGATCAAAACAGTACAGATCAGACGTCACTGTTGTGACATCCATGTCCGTACAGTTTTTTCCTCCATCTTTTAATGGAGTAAAAAACTGCAATTACCGGACCCCATGCCAGTCTATGGGGAATCAGATGTAAATGGACATCTGTCCATGTACATCAGATTACCCCCGATCCGGCACAATCCGGTCCAGCTAAACAGAACACTGTTCCGTTAGTTTTACCGGACCCAGGCCAGAGGCGGGGGGTAACCGAGTGTAAACGGACGCCCATCCATTGACACACAACCGCCCATAGACTTGCATAGGGCATCCAATCGGGTCCATCTGAAAAACTGACAGGTGGACTCGATCGGAGCAGCCATGCA